CCCTCCTCCCTCAGGCCTGGAGTCTGGCTCCCCACCCTGCCCACTCCCAGGCCTCTCACCAGTCTGCACGGACACAGAATCCGGCTTCTTCAGGAAGACCCCAGTGGGCTCCTCACCAGCAGGGGACAGGTCCTCAGGAGGGGCTTCTGCTCAGGAGACAGGATTGGGGGGTCCAGGAATAGCTGGTCAGGAGCAGGAGCTCCAAATGAGGGAGAAGGGGGATGGGGTCTGTGCCCAGAAGCCAGCGGGGAGAAAGGGTCTCCACTGGGCTGGGAAAGAGTGGGCTACAACCCCCCACACCCGCCCCCCACGAGGAGATGATCCCCTTGGCCAGTCTTCCTGCTCCCTCAGGGTCTCAGTTCCCCCACCTGCTGTGAACTGGCAGTTGGTGGGCTGGGATGGTCATGGATGGGTCTCAAGGACAGAGAGCCCAGGACCCGCTGTCAGCTTGGGATGTTGGAGGCTAGGCAGGTGTTGGCAGTCTGACAGTGGGGCTGAGCAGGTGAGCTCTGCCCTTGGACACTAGGAAACGTTGGGAGCACTGAGATCAGGGGAGGGAGCAGAGCCACGCTGGAGTGGGGAGAGTGGAGGCTGGCCCAGGGTGCAGAGGGTGCAGGGAATGTGGGAAAGGGGACAGATGTCAAGCACAGCTGAGCCCAAAGGAACAAGGCCTCACCTTTGGGGGCATCTGCTGGGGCATCCTTAGGGGAAGCGTCCTTGGGGGGGTCTTTAGGGGCTTCCTTGGAAGCTTGTTTGGGGGCCTCTTTGCCTTTAGGGGCCTTCTTGGCCGCTGTGAGGTGAAGAAAGAGGGACTCAGTCGACTGACTACATTCTTCCACTCTCTTCTTCAGAAGCCAGGAGTCCTGACCCCCAGTCCTCCTCCCTCAGACCAGGAGTCCTGACCCCCAGCCCTCCTCCCTCAGACAGAAGTCCTGACCCCTAGCCCTCCTCCTCCCTCAGATCAAGAGTCCTGACCCCCACAATCCCTCCTCCCTCAGACCAGGAGTCCTGAGCCCCAGCCCTCCTCCCTCAGACACCCCACCCCCTGCGTCTGGCCCCTCTGGGTGTAAATTCATCTCTGATCCTGAGTGTGTACTGGATCAGGTTCCCCTCGCCCAGGCAGGCCCTGCCCCGTCCTCCCAGGCCACCAAGCCCTGACCTTTGGGAACTTGGGAGTATAATTAGCTCTTCCCCAGGGCTGGCAACTGGACACCCTGTGCTGACCACAGCACCTTCTCCTGGCCCGCAGGGCTTTCTGGCCCACCGGGACCCTCATACCCCGTGGCCTGGTTAGCCTGGGGCCAGTGAAATGGAGACACAAGAGAAGGGGTCCCCTGGGGCCTCTTCTAGAGTTCTATTTCTACAAAGACCCTCGTGTCCCTGTAAAGAAATGGCCTCCCAGTCCCACTCAAATCGAGTCCCCAAACTCCACGTAAAGAACTGACCCCCATATCCCTGCATGGAAAAGCCCACTCACTGCCACAATTCCATTTGAACTCATGGGGCCCTATAGGATTGCTGCGTAGGGTTTCCGGACTGTCCATCTCTGCAGAAGCAGAGGCTCTCTGCTTTCTCCCCAGGAGGAGCTGCCCTAACAGCCCAAACACATCACCCACTGTGCCAGCAGGGACCCCCTGTGTGGAGAAAAGCCCCTAATTCCTACCTAGGAAAGTCCTCAATCCCCACCAGGAGGGTCCCCTAGCCTTGCACAGACAAGAGCACCCCTTATCATACACACAGGTATGCCCATTTTCACACACCTGAGGGCCTAGGTCCTCTGCAGAAAAAGAGCCCGGTCTTCGGGCAGTGAGCCCTATGCAGAGGACCCCATCCCCAAATGTCCCAGGATTCCAGGCCGGCGCAAGAAAGGCACACACACACACACACACAC